ATGAGGAGTTAGTATTTAAGAGTTTTAGTTTTACATGATGAAGAAAGTTAAAGTGGATGGTGCTGATGGTGACATAACAATATGAATGCACTTAATGTACTGAACTGTATGTACTCAATAATGACTAAAATGGGGGTGCCTGGGTGGGTCAGTTGGTTAAGCATCTGCCTTTGGCTCAGGCCATGATCCCAGGGCCCTAGGATCAAGCCTCACATCAGGCTCCCTGCTCAGTCCAGAGGTCTCCTTTCTGCTTCTCTCTCTCCCTATCCCCCGGCTTGTGCTCTCTCTTGCTCTCAAATAAATAAATAAATAAATAAATAAATAAATAAATAAATAATAAAATAAAATAAAATAAAATAAAATAAAATAAAATAAAATAAAATAAAATAAAATAAAATAAAATAAAATAAACAAACAAACATTTTTTAAAAAGTTACTCACAAAGGTATGTACACAACACATGTAATAGAAAAACTACGAAATAGGGGATCCCTGGGTGGCTCAGCAGTTCAGTGCCTGCCTTTGGCCCAGGGCATGATCCTGGAGTCCAGGGATCGAGTCCCGCATTGGGCTCCAGGCATGGGGCCTGCTTCCCCCTCTGCCTGTGTCTCTGCCGCGCCCCCCATCATGAATAAATAAATAAAATCTTTAAAAAAAAAAAAAAAAACTACGAAATAAAAGTTAAGAACATAACAAAATCCAGGGCACCTGGGTGGCTCAGTTAAGCATCTGCCTTGTCTCAGGTAATGATCCCGGAGTCCCAGGATCAAGGCCCACATTGGGCTCCCCGCTCAGTGGGGAATCTGCTCCTCACCCCACTCTCATCCTCCCTTCTCTCAAGTAAACAAAATCTTTTTTAAAAATAATGAATAAAAATAATAATAATAATAATGAATAAAATCCAAGTTGGAACTGACCTTGGCAAGCCACTGAATTAATTCCATTATTTAAATGAAAATACAAACACACAAAAAAGAACTTTATAGATATAAAATAAGAAAACGCTCCACTTATCTCACACCTGAACTAAATTAATTCTTCAAGTTAGTAAATCCTCTCAAGCATGCTCATCAAAGATGGAAAAGACTGTCAGCCACTTGTGGATATAGGCTGGAGAACACCGGAAGTCTCTAATGAAAAAAGCAGCAGGGGTCCCCGTCAATGCCCAGGAAAAAAAAATGACGTGGAGGCAGTCAGCATAGACCTACCAGATAAAAGCCTCAACGCAATTGTAACATATTTAAATAAATCAGTCCCAAATATAGATATTAAAAAACTTCCTAAGTTATTCTAATAAAAAAGAAGGAAATATTTAAAGACTAAGTAAAATCGGCTATTACTAAGAAAACTTAGGTAGACCGTTTGTCCGCACTGAGAATCATTCTTTCAGGCCCATTTCACTCTCACTAGGTTTCATAACAAGCAAATCAGGCAACATATTACTATGATCACCAAAATTAACAGGCCATACACCCCACGTCTTCCGAATCAACAACAGAAAGACAACCCAATTAAACATGGAAAAGGGAGATGTGAATAGCCGTTTCTCCAAATATATGCAAACAACCAATGAGCACATGGTAAGATGCTCAGTATCATTACTCATCACGGAAACGCAAATCAAAAACCACATCAAGATAACAGTTCAACCCACTAAAAGAGTTGTAATAAAAAAAATTCAAAGGGTGCCTAGCTGGGTCAGTGGGATGAGCATACGGCTCTTGATCTCAGGGTCATGAGTTCAAGCCCCATGTTGTTGGGTGCACAGGTTACTAAAAAATAAACTTAAAAAAAAATTTTAAAAATGAAAAATAGGAACACTTGGGTGGGTCAGTGGTTTAGCACCTGCCTTCGGACCAGAGCGTTATCCTGGAGTCCTGGGATCAAGTCCCACATCAGGCTCCCTGCATGGAGCCTGCTTCTCCCTCTGCCTACGTCTCTGCCCCCCCCCCTTCTCTCTCTGTAGCTCTCATGAATGAATAAATATTTTTTCTTAATGGAAAGTAATCATCGGTGAAGATGTAAAGGAACTGTAGTCTTCATACACTGTGGGTGGGAAGGCATGATGGTACAGCCACTTTGGAACACACTTATTCCTCGAAAAGTTAAAACTGCCCTTTGAACTAGTGATTCTATTCCTAGGTATATACACAAGAAAAAACACAGCTACACAAAAACCTGCACATGAATATTCACTGTAACAGTATTCATAATGTCCAAGAAGTGGAAAAACCCAAATGTCCATTAACTAATGAATGGATAAATAAAATGTAGTTTTATCCATACCATGGAATATTGCCTGGCAATAAAAAGAAGTTCTAATGTATGCCACAACACGGATGAACCTTGAAAACATTATGCTAAGTGAAATAAGCCAGTCACAAAAGACCACAGATTCTATGACTCTTTATATAAAATGTCCAGTCCAGGAAAATCCATAGAGAGACAAAGACAAATCAGTGGTTGCCTCGGATGGAGAGTGACCACTGATAGGCCGAGGATTGCGGGGGCAGGTGGCGACAGAGATGGTGATGAAAATATCCTAAAACTGACTGCAGTGATGGCTGAACAACTCTGAATATATTTAAAACCACTGAATTATAAACTTCATCTTTTTAAGTTTGAGTATAGGTTCACACACATTACATTAGTTTCAGGTGCAACACAATGATTCAACAAGTTTGTACATTTTAAGATGCTCACCAAAAAGTGTAGCTCCCATCTGTCACCAAACAACACTATTACAATATCATTGACTATATTTCTTATGCTGTGCCTTTAATCCCCATGACTTACTCCATAACTAGAAGCCTATATCTCCCATTCCCCTTTACCTATGTACCCATCTTCCCACCCCTTCCCCTCTAGCAACCATCAGTTTATTCTCTGTATTTATAATGCTGATTCTATTTGAATTTTTTTAGATTCCACATGACTGAAATCATATGGTTTTGTCTTTCTCATTTCTCTTACTTCACTTAGCATAATACCCTCTAGGTCCATCCATATTGTTGCAAATGGCATGATCTTGTCTTTTTTTTAAATGATCACATACTATTCCATTTTGTGCGTATTTCACATCTTCCTCACCCATTTGTCTACTAATGGACAGGGAGACTGCTTCCATATCTTGGCTGTTATAAATAATACTGTACTAAACAAGAGAGCAGGGCAGCCCCGGTGGCTTAGCGGTTTAGCACCACCGCCTTCAGGCCGGGACATGATCCTGGAGTCCCAGGATCAAGTCCCATGGTGGACTCCCCGCATGGATCCTGCTTCTCCCTCTTTCTTTCTCTCTCTGTGCTTCTCATGAATAAATAAATAAATAAATTTTAAAAAATAAATAAATAAACAAGAGAGCATTTATCTTTTCAGATTAGTGTTTTCATTTTCTTTGGGTAAATACCTAGTAATGGAATTATTAGATCATATGGTAATTCTATTTTTAATTTTCTGAGGATCCTCCACACAGTTTTCCATGGTAGTTGTACCAATTTACAATCTCACCAACAGTGTACAAAAATTCCTTTTTCTCCAAATTCTGGCCAACACTTGTTATTTCTCATCTTTTTTATTTTAGCCATTCTGACAGGTTTAAGGTGATATCTCATAGTGATTTTGATCTGCATTTCTCTGATAGGTGATGCTGAGCATCTTTTCACATCTGTTGGCTATCTTTAGGTCTTCTTTGGAAAAATGTCAATTCAGGTCCTACATTCATTTTTTAATTGGATTGTTTGGAAATTTTGGTGTTGAGTCGCATAGCTTCTTTGTATATTTTGGACATTAACCCCTTAACCAGATAGGTCATTTGCAAATATCTTCTCCCATTCAAGTAGGTTACCTTTTTGTTTTGTTAATGGGTTTCCTTTGCTCTGCAAGGCTTTTTATTTTGAGGTAGTTCCAATAGTTTATCTTTGCTTTTGTTTCCCCTGCCTTAGGAAACGAAACATACCTAGAAAATGTTGCTATGGTCCATGTTCAGAGAAAATACTGCCTAAGCTCTCTTCTAGGATTTTTATGGTTTTAGAGCTCATATTTAGATCTTTTTTTTTTAAGATTTTTATTTATTCATAGAGACAGAGACAGAGACAGAGAGAGAGAGAGAGAGAGAGAGATATGCAGAGACACAGGCAGAGGGAGAAGCGGGCTCCATGCAGGGAGCCCGACATAGGATGATCCCGGGTCTCCAGGATCACACCCCAGGCTGCAGGTGGCACTAAACTGCTGCGCCACTGGGACTGCCCTCATGTTTAGATCTTTAATCCATTTTGAGTTTATCTTTGTAAATGGTGTTATAAGTGGTCTAGTTTCATTCTTTTACATTAAACTGTACACTTCAAATGGATGAGTTCTATACATATAAAATATATCTCAATAAAGCTGTAAAAACTATACAGTGAAATGACAGAGTACTATTTCCAAATATGCCATATTCATGAGCTATACTGAAGCTATTTAATATTTGTAAACCCCATCAAAATGCTGTAACAGGATCCAAAAAAGCCCAAGCCTTTAAAATGCAGGATCATTTAATTATAAGACTAGTGAAATGACACAGCTGAACTTGGGGCAGAGAGGACAGGAGCCAACTGCAGTTATACTACACCTAAATTCTAGTGTTGTGGGAGGCATTATCACAGTTCCATTGTAACAGTTAACATCATACAGTGTTCCCTTAATTCCAGGACCTATTCCAAGAGCTTCTTTTCTACTTTTCTCAAAACAATTTATGAGGATACTAAGGAGATGTCAAGATTCTCTTGTCCAAAAAGCCACATGACAGTTGGTAGTCTGAAAATTCAAAACCCAAGTCTTACTCCAGAGCTTGCATTCTTAACTGATATATCAATCTCCCCTATACACAAAAAGCTGATAATTCATTTGAACTTGATCATCACCCTCCTCCATGGTTTATGTACTACCCAAGTAGATTTATTACAGTAAAAAATATTTATAAAAACTTATCACACATAACAAAATATTCACATTCTATGTACCTTCTGTATTACTGACTGTTGGCTCAGGAGTGATTCTCCCATCATGAATATTAGAGCTCTCCTCATCGGCATATACTATATGATCATCTTCTCTATTTTCTGGCCACTGCGGTACCTCTCTTGTGTCTGTTGAGCAGCTGCATACATCTTCATTCTTGTTGAAGTATCTTTGTAGCCATCCTGGCACAATATTCTTAACAGATTCTGTAACCCTGCTAAGAATACCCTGTTGGAGGAAGAAACACATAAGGTAGTTTTAGAAATTTATCTTTTTAAATACATACCTTACAAAAAGCCATTATCAAGCAAAACATGACTACTTCCGACTAAAGTTTTCTAAAGTTCATTTACTTGCCTTAATGCTGACATGATGGCATTCTACAAATTCTACAGACATTATGAAATTCCTACTTTTCTTTCTTCTATATGTATAGATCCATGAGTCCGTAACTGCCCCAAATGGCCTTATATTCTAACCCTTTAAAAACTCCAACAGACCATCAATAAGCCATATACTCTTTAGATCAGTGCATTAAAAGAAGCAACACTTCCTTCTAACCAGAGCCCAGCAGAATGGCTCCCGTAAAGAAGGGTGGCAAGAAAAACACCGTTCTGCCATCAATGAGGTAGTGACCAGAGAATACACTATTCACATTCACAAGGGCATCCATGGGGTGGGTTTCAAGAAGCTGCTCCTCAGACACTCAAAGAGATCCGGAAATTTGCCATCAAGAAAATGGGAACTCCAGATGTACACAATGATACCTGGCTCAACAAAACCGTGTGGGCGGAAGGAATAAGGAATGTTCCGTATCGTATCCATGTGTGGTCGTCCAGAAAAGCGTTAACAAGGATGAAGCTCTATATGTTGGTTACCTATGTACCTGTCATCACTTTCAAAAATCTACAGTTAATATAAGAACTAATCACTGATTGTCAAAGGTGACAAAAAAAAAAAGCAACATAAACAATACCTTCAACAGCTTCCCCAAGCAATTATTTTTATTGCACGTTAAGAAAAAAAATTGGACAAATAAAAATGAGAGTCTTTTTAAGACATACAACAATTCAACGCAATAAATTCAAAAAATTTTTTTATTTATTTATGATAGTCACACAGAGAGAGAGAGAGAGAGAGAGAGAGAGAGAGAGAGAGAGAGAGGCAGAGACACAGGCAGAGGGAGAAGCAGGCTCCATGCACCGGGAGCCAGACGTGGGACTCGATCCCGGGTCTCCAGGATCGCGCCCTGGGCCAAAGGCAAGCGCTAAACCGCTGCGCCACCCAGGGATCCCCTCAACGCAATAAATTCAATAAATAACCTAAGATTTTTTTGATGGGAAAACTTTTTTTTATATCAAATGTTGTCTGAAGACCTGAGGAATGAATTTTATTATGACAACTATTAAAGGGAGAAAAAAAATGTGGTACAACTATTGGTACTATTAACACTTATTGTAGCTTTGTTATGTGCCAGGCACTGTTCTAAGCAATTTGCACATATTAAATTCAATCCTCACACTAATTTTATGAAGCTAATACTAATAATGTCACTTTACTGATGAAGAGAAACAATAAAGTTTTAAGTAATTTGCCCACGGTACAAACACAACTACTATGGTTTATCTAAGTAAAGTAAAAGGATGGGCTTTGGGATTGATAGGACCTAGGATAAAGTTTGACTACGTCCCCATACTTTGATTTATTCTAGGTAAAATAACAATAACACCCCCTCCAACCTGAGAAGGAATCATGAGTATCAAATGATAATGTGAAAACACTTCACATTTCCAAAATATGAAGAAACATATACTTGATAATTTTATTACTAATAAAGAAAAAAAACTAGCAGAAACAAAATGGGGTGAGATAACCAAGTTTCGGCAAGGATTTCTTTCACAAATAGCATTAGCAGGATTTCTAGATAAAGAATCAAAGGAGGAGGGGATCCCTGGGTGGCTCAGCAGTTTGGCGCCTGCCTTTGGCCCAGAGCGCGATCCTGGAGTCCCAGGATCCAGTCCCGCATCAGGCTCCTGGCATGGAGCCTGCTTCTCCCCTCTGCCTGTATCTCTGCATCTCTCTCTCTCTATGTCTATCGTGAATAAATAAATAAAATCTTGAAAAAAAAAAAAAGAATCAAAGGAGAGAAAACATGAACTGGCAGGTACAAAAAACAATGGTTAAAAATCAAGGCAAAACAGGGGATCCCTGGGTGGCTCAGTGGTTTAGTGCCTGCCTTCGGCCCAGGGCATGATCCTGGAGACCCAGGATCGAGTCCCACGTCGGGCTCCCTGCATGAAGCCTGCTTCTCCCTCTGCCTGTGTCTGTGTCTCTGCCTCTCTCTCTCTCTCTCTCTCTCTCTGCATCTCATGAATAAATAAATAAAACCTCTCTAAAAAAAAAAAAATCAAGGCAGAATATATATATATATATATATATATATACACACACACACTCTGAAAGCTAACCCAACACAAAGAGGCCTTGAAATATCCTGTCAACAAAAAAGAAGACACTTCTAATACTGGCACTTGAATAGCATTTTCTCTACTGTTTGAAAGGTATAGGTAACAACTGGGAAATATGTAATTATTTTTCCATGTATTCTCCAAACAGAAACTGAGAACCAAACTACAACGATATAAGCTCCCCAGCAATACAGGAAGCCAACAGCCCTATAAAATACTTCCTACTGAAAAGCACAAATTCACTGTTCCCCTTCTCAATTCTAATGTTACACAGTATTCATTTCTTTGGAAAGAAAAATTATGTATCTACATCCGTGATTTAGTATTTATAAAAATAAACATATACTATTTATTATTTTTACTTGTTATTTATACTTAAATATTTATTTACCCCCTCCCTATATATTTCAAAAGACTGGAAAGTGCTTACAAGATATAACATTAATAAGACTTGGAAAAAAAAGAGGGACACCTGGGTGGTTCAGCAGTTTAGCGCCTGCCTTTGACCCAGGATCAAGTCCCACATCGGGATCCCTGCATGGAGCCTGCCTCTCTGCCTCTCTCTCTCTGTGTCTCTCGTGAATAAATAAATAAAACCTTAAAAAAAAAAAAAAAGACTTGAAAAAGAGACACATACTTGATATGAAGCAGTAAGTTAGCTAAAGCATGATAGCAAGAATTTAATGTAAAATTAAGGTTTGGGGTGAACTTCTAAGGTATTAGGCTACTAAAAGTATCAGAGATTCCCTCTGATTCCTACTCACTTAAGAGGGCAAGTACAGGGGATCCCTGGGTGGCGCAGCGGTTTAGCGCCTGCCTTTTGGGCCAGGGTGAGATCCTGGAGACCAGGGATCAAATCCCACATTGGGCTCCCAGTGCATGGAGCCTGCTTCTCCCTCTGCCTGTGTCTCTGCCTCTCTCTCTCTCTCTCTGTGACTATCATTAATTAATTAATTAATTAATTAATTTTAAAAAAAGACGGCAAGTACAGGGCACTGGGGTAGCTCAGTCAGTTGCGCATCCACCTTTGGCTCAGGTCATGATCCCAGAGTTCTGGGATCAAGCCCTGAGGCAGGCTCCCTCTCCCTCTGCTCCCCCTCCACTCTAGCTCACTCTCTCTGTCTCTCCAATGAGTAAATTTAAAAAATTTTTAAAAATGGGGCAAGTACAGAACAAATTAAAATTAACACCATACTTCATCAAAGGCCATATATCAGGCAGCATTAAGTATTGTGGAAAAATAATAAAATTGAAACAGTCAAAATGGATAAAATAAAACTCACTAATGCTCAAGAACTTTGCTTGGTCCTTCCCTTTTTTAAACTAAAATTTTACCCACGTATCTGATCACAGCCCACAGCTGTTCTGGTGGCACAATGAAGGGCAGCATGAAGAGTGTGACAGTAAAAAGAAATACAGGTGATAAAACTGACCCGGAACGATTATAAAAAACCAACATCCTTAAATTCAGTATACCCCTGTAGGGTAAACGACCCTAAGGCAACCACAAAAATTAAGCACAGTGTACTCTAGTGCAGTGGTTCCCATAGGGTGGTCCCTTTACTGATAACCTCAGCATCCCCTCAAGCTCTATCCCAGCCTAGAAGCAGGCTCACCTGTTTTAACACACCCTCCCAAGTGATTCTAAATGCTAAAGTTTGAGAACCACTGTTCTAGTTTAAGAGATTAGGAAATTAGATGCATTTCAGGATATTACAATACATTTTAGGGAAAAGGTCCCTCTCTAAGGGGAATAAAAATTATGTATACTTTAAGTCCTAACAGATCTGGAAAACATATATATGTGGAACACTAGTCAGATAGTTATTAAAATATATCATAAGATATTCTATAATCAATCAGAAAAACAAATTTTTTTAAAGATTTATTTATTTATGATAGAGAGAGAGAGAGAGCGAGCGAGAGGCAGAGACACAGGCAGAGGGAAAAGCAGGCTCCATGCCGGGAGCCCGACACAGGACTCGATCCCGGGACTCCAGGATTGCGCCCTGGGCCAAAGGCAGGCACTAAACCACTGAGCCACCCTGGGATCCCCCAGAAAAACAAATCTTACAGAGGACAGTGTGGAATATAATGCAGCTTACAGCTTCCCCGTGATGCCCAAATTTTAGCAATAGTTTTTATTTGTAGTGTTATTAACGATTTTCTATCCATTCATCTCTCTCAATAAATTTAGGTCTTCCTCCTAACTCTGGGAAACAAACTAGGGGTGGGTGGAAGGGGAGGAGGGCGGGGGGTGGGGATGAATGGGTGATGGGCACTGAGGGGGGCACTTGACGGGATGAGCACTGGGTGTTATTCTGTATGTTGGCAAATTGAACACCAATAAAATATAAATTTATTATAAAATAAATAAATAAATTTAGGTCTTCCTGCACAATAAAATCAAATCACAGATCTGATGCTGTAGTAGTCTTCACTTGTTCTTCACTCACTCTATTCTTGATAGGCTATCCCACCAAACCAGCTTCTGGTAGGAGTGGCCCATGAAATACTAGGGGATACCAGATATTATGGAAGGGAGAAAAGAGAAGTCTAAGTCTTTCTTGTGCTTCCTCTCTGATCAAGGGCCCCATTTCTAAAACTATTGCTCCAGCCAGGTGGTCCTTCCTCCACTCCAGCTACACCATTTCTTCCTTCATCCTTTGAGTCCTAGGAAGAGTAGCAGCTTCCTACTCCTGCTAGCTTCTGGGCATCTTGCTATCCAATATTTACTCCTTTAACCACTAGCATATACTA